GCAAAACATACATGTAACTGAGGGGAGGAAAGATTGCCTTCCATAGACGTCTAACCTCCGGGATGTTTTCCTGCACTCTGATGGATTAAAGAGTCCCTGGGTGATGCCACTGGTCTTAGAGGTTCAACGGGATTGTTACGGCTTCACTGTTGAAGTTAGATTTTCTAGTGGCAAAGGAAACCATGCCAAGAAGGCATCTGGCTGTGAGGAAGCGTTATTCCCAGCTCCAAAGGCTGTCTCAGGTTGAATTTACAAAATGTAGAATAGAGAAACAACATTCTTCACTTAAAGCAATTTAACTGCCGTGGTTTCTCTTTGTATTTTTATTTTAAATGGTTTGCTTATGCAAAAATACCAAAAATATAAAATCTTTTTTAGAAGGATCTTTAAGTGTACTTACTGATAAACCTAAGTCAATTTTTAGTCTGGTTCTATCTGGCTCTAAGACCATTCTTTCTCCTGCCATTTCATGCCTGGGGTATCCATTCTTATGAATTTGATGTATATTGCTACAGTTTTAGTCCAGGCTTTATAAGTATTACTAGTTGTTTGACTTTATTCACTGCTTTGTTTAAGTAGTTTTAACGACACAACTTGTTAAATGAGAACATAGTATAGTTCTCTAACAGTGCACATGTTTATATGTTTAATATGGTTTCTTGTTGAATTGGCTCTATCTTATCATATCTTACAACATGTAGTTATTAATGTTTTTCATGTCTAAGTACTTACCTCTGGTGTTTAATTTTTTTTTTTATTGAGACAAAGTTTCTCTCTGTAGCCTTGACTGGCATGGAGTTTGCTATGTAGACCAGGCTGTCCTTGAACTCACAGATATCTATTTTCTTGCTTCTGCCTCCTTAGTGCTGGGATTAAATGTATGTGCCACCACACCCAGCCACAGCCACTTAGCTCTGTTCATGGAAGCCAGAAACTCTATGTCTGATGTACACTCACCACTCAGGATGCAGAGGAAATTTCCCTGTGTTAATCCTCTCTGAATCCACTGGCCCTTCTTTAAGCTGCATGCTGTTTTTTGCAGACCCTAGAATTTGAACTAGTTGATTACGTCCTCATCCTGAAAGTAATTCTTATGCATGCTAGACTACCGTCCCAGGTGATTCATCCATGTTCTCAAGGCCTGAGTGACTGAATGACGACACAGGCACCCAAAATAACCATCAGAGAACTAAAAAGTAAAGAACCATTAAAATGGGTAGGAAAAACAGAACACCTTCCTCAAAATGATTTCCCTGGTATTTTTGTTGGCTGACTTCCTATCCTCCCTGTCCATGCACGAGTTCTGGTTAACTGATTTTCAGACATCACTGTGAATTCTAAAGCCTAGACGCTAGGGCCAGCAGGAGCTACAGATGAAAGGGCTATTTATTTTATTTTTGAAATGATAAGAAAAGAAAGTCAGACACTCAGATCTTAGGAAACAGAAACAATTTTGGAGCTGAGTGAAGACACAAAGTAGCAAAGTAGCAAGGAAAACATGGAAGCAGGAAGCCAGAAGAAGGGAGAGGATAGGGGAAGAAACCAATGGGAGTTAGAGTTCTGAAGCAGCCACGGAGAACTTCATCCACATTTTAGTGATGAAACACCAAGTACCCTTGCTCAGTGTTGTTAAATGTATCAATTACGCAACTCAGCTTCAAAACAGACTGCTCAAAGATTTCCCATGCATGTAATCCCCTGACAGTAATCTGAATACACAGGTATGGCTGCACCTAGGAAACATTGCACTCTGTGATCCTAAAAGCTGAACTGAAAATGTACCCATTTGTATACATATTGATATGCTGTCTAGGTATATTCACATATGACTTATTGTATAACAGACATAAATGTACGTACACACACACACACACACACACACACACACACACACACACACCACACACGCATACAAATCTTGTTAGCTTGGCAAATGTGATTCACTCCTAATAAATAAATATGAACTCCGTTCAGTGTGTGGAAACCAAGTTTTTCAGACTTCAATACTAAAATTCAGATTTTAGATTGTAGTGCATAAGTCACCTGACCTTGTGGTTATGTCTTCCTGGATATATTTTGTCACCATCATCATAAATAACTACAACTTCTATAGTGGCTTGGGCCCAAGTAAGTAATCTAAAAAAAAGTGATATAACAAAAGGACTAATTTTTCATATTTTGGTGCATACATAAAGACCACGAAGAGCAGAGATGGAGTGTGTACTTTGAAATTGTCTAGGACATTTGTTTTCCCAATAACATCAAAATATCCTTATTTTAGAGAACACTTGATCTGATTCATTTTTAATGATTTATTCATTTTCATTTCATGTACAATGACGTTTTGCCTGCATGTATGTCTGGATAAGGGTGTCAGATACCCTGAAACTGGAGCTACAGTTGTGAGATGCCATGTGGGTGCTGGGAATTGAACCTGGGACCTCTGAAAAGCAGCCAGTGCTCTTAACTGGTGCACTGAGCCATCTCCCCAGCCCTGAGCTGATCCACTTGTAAAACAAATCTGGCTATGGGACAATTGAGATCTTTCAAACAACATTCAAAAATCTCAAATTCATAACTATATGTTGGTTAACGTATATTCAAACAATTCTGAACAATACTATCTTTATTTTTATAAAATAATGTAGTAAAAGATAAAATATTGTAGATTATGTCTAAGGTAAATGGCATGAAAAATAAAAAATAAAACTCTACCTTGCTTGGTCCTAAAGTTGGTGTTCCCCCCAACCCCCAACTGACCAAGATTCCAGTCCTAGAGCTGGTGAGTTGGTCCTGATGCTTCACTTTGGTTCTACTTTGGTGGCAAGATGCCTTATACAGTACTTTATACCTAAAATCATGAAATCAACCTGAGGAACTCTTCCTTCCTCAGTTTCCCCAGCTCACCATGTAAGTCAAGCTACCAAATAAAATTTAAAGCTAACTGACAGCTAAGGCAGATGGGCTCAGGACTGAAACGCTGTCTGAGCATTCACAAAGCCCTGCCCTCCACCGATTCCCACACTGGCTCTCTTTCCTCAGCCACACCCTTTTATGGAAAGAGCTGCAGATTGCTTTGCCACAGTGGCAAGGGCTTTGGTGATATGTTTTCTGATATCATAAAAACATTGCAGGTTCTCTTCTTATGGTTCTACTGTCTCTCCTATGCCAACAGCAGATTCTCTTTTGCATTTACCCTCATTTATCCAGTAAAGACAGAAACCTAAGTCCATTGTTAACTCAGTCTAGTTTTCTGAGATTTTTTTTTTCCTGAGATCCCTTCTGACCGAGTTCCCCTGATGATAAAATATTGCATCAGACAGAAAGGATGTAGCTCCAACTGACACTTAGGTCCCACTATGACTTCTAAAACCCTGGGATAACAGAGAGGTGACACCACTTATGTTATGCCACAAGAAGCTAGCAGTGTGAGGGACATTGCTATGTTGGTAAAAAGTTCTGACTGATGTCACAATCTTTAGGAGAGGATACTTTGAAACCCTAGACATGATGCTCACAATCAACAAACTAATAATACAAATACACTTATAAAACCCTTCCTCATATAAACATTTTTAGTTATAGGTTATATTCAAAATTGTCAGTTACCCCCCCCAAAACAAACACATTTAAAAATACAGCACAAATAATATGCTAGAGAAAATAGTATACATGTTCATATCTTTTTTAAACATGCCAAATTAGTTTCATTAGGCTCATAAAACATCCATGGTTTCTATGTGCAGTCTAAAGTTAATAAAAAGTATTCAAGAACCACAATCACACAGTGTTGTCATGAACTATTATAATATTTAAGGTTAATCCATATGACATATTTAATATCTGAATTATTTAACCAACACTATATGACATAATGTAAACAATCCTAAATTATATGTCAATTATCTTCAGAGTTATGAATGTTTTGTTCAACAAAGCCCTATTTATATTCAGTTTCTATGTATGTAATTATTTTCTTTTGGGGTACTAGGGATTAAGGCCAGAGCCTCTCTTAAGCTAGGCAAACACACTCTACCACTTAGTTATCCTTCAGCACTCTACTTCTACAACATGAAATCATAGCTTCCAAGATTTTCCTTGCATTCCATGATATCATAGCTTCAAAGATTTTCCCTACATTCCATGATATCATAGCTTCAAAGGTTTTCCCTACATTCCATGTTTCTTGTTGCCTATTATAACTGGAGCAAAACAACACATACAAAGTGAGAAGCCTATCACCACATGTAAGTTACATGTTGTGTGTAATTTGAATGATTTTCATCAACTAGAAAAAAATGGCTTCAGTTCATTAAATATCCATCAATGTGTATAGAATGATTTGTGGGTTTAAGAATATGATAATATATATTTGTAGTAATGAGGTTTACTTTTCATAAAATGAGCCAGTCAACATCACAGAATCCTTTAAATATTTAGTGAAACTTGACATAAGATGAATAATTTTATGATTACTAACACCCAGGCCTCAGTTTTCTTTTCCTCAAACCTCTGAAAGATTTCCATGTTTTTTAAAAAAATTAGGCTATTGTATAGAAGGATGCATTTCTCTTAAAAATAATAATTTTTGAAACAAATATATTTTCATTTTCAAGTTCTTAAAAATCATTTTGATGGATATATTTTATTGTATTACAATTGTCTTTTCAAGTTTAGTGAGATCCTACCTATAATTGATCTCCATATTATAGATTGTGTCTCAAATTACACATTTCAATACAATGGAAGTCAATTCAGTTGTGTTTCTGATGACCACATAGAGTTCTGATTCATTTCTTGCCTACTTAATGGTAGCTAAGATTCAAGATTTTTTCCAGAATTTGTGAAGCACAAAGAAAGGGGGTTATAGATTGAATTTTTAAGCATAACTTGAAATTTCACTGAAAAATTTTAACATCTTAAGAAAAAATTATACTATGAAAATAGAGAAGTAAAAGGAGGGGGTAAGAAAAAAAAATTGAAAACAAGCTTCTACTTACCAGGTGTGAAATTATATCGTGCTGAAAATCCCATAGACTCCAGCTCGCCATCAGCAAAAAATTTAATCCACAGAAATCTTCCACTAGATTTTATTACAGGTGGATTCTGTTGTCCACAAAACCTTCCGATTATTGGAGAAAAGCCAAAAGGTCCATCTCGAACTTCAATATGATCAAATTTGCACTCCCAAGATGGTTCAATTGAGTATTTTTCATCAAAGTAGAGTTCAATGCACTGCCTTGGGGCAGCTGTAGAAAACAAAGACAGATTATATGTAGAAAGCAGTTTCTTAAATCTTGAGGCTGATTAACTGATTCTATGTCAGGTTCTATTTGTATACTGTTCAATAGAAGTCTGTAGAAGAGTCACATGGAAATACAAAGAAAGGAGATGCTTAGCAGTCTAGAGATATTTTCATTAAAGAACACCTAAAAGTTGGCCTTTAAAACTGATGACTTTGCACAAAATGCTATTGTAACATGAAATGACTAACATGGAGCCAACACCAGCTTAGCAATGCTGTTTGTTAACTCATGTTAGAAGGTGGAGGGTGGGTGGAGGGTATAGTTCTCTCTTTTCTTATAAACTCCAGTGTTCAGTTTTAATGCCAGAAAGCACTCAGAAATTATCCTCCAGGCAGTTACGCAACCACTCAAGTAGTTACAACCAGGTGTCTTGATGAGATCCAAGTGCATATACAAGGTAATCATTGCAGGAATCCAATGTGATTTCATCATTCTCAACTTGAACTCCAGTAGTAGTCTCCCCAGCTGAATGACAGAACAACGCACTTGACAGATAAAGGCCTTGAGGAAGTTCTACTTCCATGATCTCATCACCTCAGAGCCCCCAAACTCAAGGCACTTGGCACATGTCTTGTTTCCTAACACATCACGCCCTCTGCAGCTGGAGTACACTTGTTTTGCTCACTCTCTCCCCGTCTAGACAACTACAGTTTAACCCTCTTTATTGAGGGAGGGTTTCATTTGCCTATTTCCTACCATTTGCTTTTGTTTCGCTTTTTCTGTGCAGGTGATTGACATCAGGGACTGACACATGATAAGGGAATGCTCCACAACTAAACCACATCTCCAGCTCTCCTAGACAATCTTGTTTAGAGGAAATCTTCTCTCAGTCTGTTCATTAAAGACAAGAACCTTATTTACCTTCTTTTCCTGGTACTTAAGCACAATATACGCCATTGTATATATTTTTCAATATTATTTTGAGTAAATTAAAAATTAGTTTGCCTTCATCAATGTTTCTATAGCTCTCTGAAAAACAGGAGAGTCTGATAAGCCTAGCAACCATGGAAGTCACCATACTAGTACATATTTTAATATTCCTTCACTCTGTTCCCTTTCATGGCCAAAACAGTAGTAATGGCAATTCCTGTTATACTCAGCCAGGATATCCATAACAGACATAACACTGTCTGAAATACCAGTACACAGGCCAGGAACCACTGCTTCCTTGAAGCCTCTGAGAAGAGCTTCCTTGCTACCTGACCTTCTGCATGGACTAACTCTTCCAAAAATTTTGGTACAGTAAAACTTGCTGCCTATGTGATCAGAAACCATTCTGAATATCTGCTATCCTGCTCCACTGTTTCTTAAATGTATATTGATCATCACCATTGATCACCTAAAAATTAAACTTGTACAGACATGGATGCCAATGATTTATATAAAATGGAGATATGTGATAACTTAGAAATGGAGATTTTTTTAATAAAATATAAATTTACTGCTATCCAAGTCTAAAATTAAAAATCAATAGCAACGAGGTCAGCTTATGTTTAAAGATTTTTCTCCAAAATAGTTTTAATCCTTATAAACATTCCCAACTCTTTGCCTACTGAAAAGAGAAATTTACAACTCAGGCCACATTTTCATCTGACATTTGTATATATTACAAAGGTTAACAGACAGAGGAAGTATGACAGAGTTGAGAGAATTTCCATTCAATGCTTAAAACTTTCGAATTGAAAAATATCTTTTAAAACTATCTGAGAAATCCTGTTTCCTACCCAGCTTATTACTCTACAAATATAAAGATAAGTGTTTAAGAATGAGGATCTGTTTACAAACATAGTTTTAAATGTATTACTTGAGTTCCTTACTACTCTACACTGTAAACTTGCTTGTACATCTGCTCTTTAATAAGTTAGAGGGAGATTTATGGGAACATAAAGTACTTCAGCGATTCAGGCATTTCTTCCTTCCTTCCTTCCTTCCTTCCTTCCTTCCTTCCTTCCTTCCTTCCTTTCTTTCTTTCATTCTTTCTTTTTTTTTGAGACAGGGTTTCTCTGTGTTTCTCTGGTTTGTCCTGGAACTCACTCACTTTGCCAACCAGGCTGGCCTTGAACTCACTGCCTCTGCCTCTGACAGAGTGCTGTGATTAAAGGCACGTGCCAACATCTCCTGGCATTGGGCATTTTTTTAAGCTACAAATATTATATGGCTAAGGAGAGAAAAAAGTCAAAAGTACTGTCTTGTGCTATTTTACTTAGCATTCAGTATGTCATCTATCAACATATGTCCACCTGTATCCTCTACCAGGAAATAAAGAGCCATTGTGTGTAAAGAATATACTTATTCTTATCTTCATTTTTCTTGTGGCTTGTACTCTACCCAACATGGACAAATACAGCACTCTTTTCCAGCAGCATGCCCTTATGCAGCTCCTGTAGAACATGTTACACATGCACAGTTGATTTTCATTTCACCTAGCAAGCTGAAATTAACTACCCATCAGCCCATGTAAGAAAGTTTCATGAGTTGAATTTTAGAAAATACCAAATAACTTGTTAAAAAGTGAACACTCTACCCAGAGTTGTTATCATAGATGCACAAATGGATGGTTGCAGTGTAGGTTAACTGAAGCTGTCAGGGTCCAGCTTCATAAACTCACTTTTTCTTCATCTTCAACTTGTTATGTTCACAGACTCTTTCATTCTCCTTCCTCTAGCTGATGTTCAGCTGACACTCAAGTTTCTTCAGATTTCCATCGCTCTCAGCCTCTTGGGATATGGTACCCATGCAAACTCACTTGATATACATGCCATGTACCTCCCTAAACAGAAGGAGTGCTGATACCATCTGAAATCCACGAAAGGATATTGCTTTCCATGACTGTGAGCTTGCCTGATATTTTTTTAACCATATCTTGTCTTATCTTAAGCAACGAGGCCTTTGATCTATCTCTCTTAGCTTTGTTTCTTGTTGCTATTATACAATAGTCTGGCAGAAGCAACAAGAATGAGAAAATGTTTAACTCAGAATTCCAAGTTAAATCCCTCATCGTGGGAGAACATCAAGGCAGCAGGAACCTGAAGCAACGAGTGACGTTATATCCACAGGAGCAGAGAGCATAAACTAATAGCTCTTTCCTTTTGCAGTTGAGAGTCACGCAAAGAAAACAATGCCCTGTAAACAGTTCAAGCTAAACAACTATCTCACTTATCCAGAGGGCCTAGTCCAGTACCATCGGGGTTCCTTAGCTATTGGTCCACAGTTCATGTGTTTCCACTAGTTTGGCTAGTTGTCTCTGTACTGCTTTCAATCATGGTCTTGATGTCTCTTGCTCTCTCTCATCGTTTGGACTCTTGGAGCTCCGTCTGGGACTCGGCCGTGGATCTCTGCATCTGCCTCCATCAGTCACTGGATGAGGGTTCCATCATGGTGCATGAACCGGCTTTTTGGAACCTAGTGCCTATGGTGAGACACTTTGCAGCCTTGGTGCAGGGAGGAGGAGCCTGGACCTGCCTCAACTGAATGTACCAGGCTCTGCTGACTCCCCATGGGAGGTGACCTTGCCTTGGAGGAGGTGGGAATGGGGGGTGGGTTGGGTGGGAAGGCTTGGGGGTGGGAGGAGGGAGGACAGAGGAATCTGTGGTTGACATGTAAAATGAATAGAAAATCTCTTAAAAAGGAAGAAAGAAAGAAAGAAAGAAAGAAAGAAAGAAAGAAAGAAAGAAAGAAAAAGCCCTCCACTTTCAGGATGGTCTTCTCACCTCAGTTTACCCAGTTGTGAAAATCCCTCACAGATATATCCACAAACTAACCTCACCTAGACAATCCTTCATTGAGACTGTCTTCCAGGAATTCTACATTGCATCAACAATTTAAAAAATGCTTTTTTCTCTACTTTAAATTTATCTATTTTCTACTGATCAAGTGATTTTTTTCTAGAGATAAATACGTATAATTTTCCTCATTAAAAAAAAAAGAAACTGCCAGTTTATTGCACCTTCCCACGCCCTGCCCTACAAGTACTGTCTTCCCTCAATCTTCTACTGACTGGGAGGTGGTTCTCTCCATCACTGTGTTAATCACTGTGCTCATCCTAAAGTCACAAGCAGACTCTTGATTGCTTCATACAATAAACACATATGTGTGTTTGCCTCATTTTTATTGTAACAACTGTCACTTGGAAAACCACTGATTCTTGAGTCTCATCATCTACACCAGCTCCATAACATCCCTCCTGATTCCTTGATCATCTGAAACTCCTTCTGAGAGCCTTCCAGGTCTCCCTGTTTGGTTCATTCCCAGCATGTTATGCCCCGGAAACATCCCCAGCCTCTCTTTATTCATGTTACTCCAGTGCACTGGGTGTTGCTGAAACATAGTGGAATGATTTCAAAATCAGATGGTGCCTGAACCTCTACTTCCAAAGAAATTGGCATTCTAGGGAAAGCCCAAGACATTTTTAATAAGTTGAAATATTAGTGTTCTAAATGCCTCCTTCTGATATTTTTATTCATATGGAATCCTCACTAACAATTTCTGTATTTATATCCTGTAAATACGAAGAATCAGCATAGATCTCTCCATCAAACTAAAATTCCACACATTTATTCTCTCCAGGAGCTACCCATAAAAGTGTCAACATTGACCACATCAACGTTTTATAAATCCTGTTTTACCGTTTCCCACCCAATCATTTGAATCTCAGTTTCTTGAAGACATTTTGTTCCCTCTGTCATTTGCTCTGTCACCCCTGCCGATATCGTTCCTTTAGGTTTTCTCTGTTTTATTTGGCTGTCTTCAGTAGTTCTTTGGTTGGCATTCTTTTCCTTCAGTTACTTTCCTACTAAAGTCTCACCTCATTAGTTGTCTGAATTCCTTCAGTGCTATTCCACTGCCTACAATTAACTTGTGAATGTCTATAGGTTTGGCTCCTAGACTACAGATCTCCTTTTTAGGATCATCTCCCTCCTACCCACTCCTCTCTTCACCTGTGTAGAAGGCCAGGTATCGCCAGCTTACCACTTCTCTGCACTTCAGTACAAGGTGTTCTATAAAAAAGAGGACTACCACCTGGATACACATAAACAATGAAGGATAACATCATAGCTCTCTCTTCTTTTTCCTGCTCCAGTAATCCTAGGTAAACCTCGAAGCCCCTGATTGGCTCAAACTCCCCCAGCCACATTGACAGCACCATAAGCCTAGTATCTGGCAATTTTTGTGCAATGCTTGATAGCAAATTCATAAAAATGTCACTATAACATCATTTTAATGTATGATTAAATCATACATTATCATTTTATTTTGTCCTTGATATAAATACAACTATATGAAAACTATCACATTCAAGGCTAGCGGTACTTGTAAAGGTACCAAAGAAATACACAAGAAAGCATAACTCACAGGAAACATGTCCTGTTTTGCTCTTTCAAATGTGATTATTTTTAGTTTCAGCAAGATGTTTAATTTCTATATGCCTCCGTTACCTAATTACCAAAACGAAGACACCTTCCTATGAGTAAATATTTTTGGTAAATAGTAAGTTCTTCAAAAGTAGCCAGGAGGTAATGGGGCATGCCTTTAGTCCCAGCACTCGGGAGGCAGAGACAGGCGGATCTCTGTGAGTTCGAGGCCAGCCTGGTCTACAGAGCAAGTCCCAGGACAGGCTGCAAAGCTACACAGAGAAACCCTGTCTCAAAAAGAAAAAAATCTTCCAAAGTTTATAATATATTATTTTAACACATATAGTTAATATCTAATACAAACTTGTTTAAAAAATAATAGCTGACTTCAGAAAAGCAACTCAATATTTTCATCTTCTAGAGATCCAAACTACCTGATGTCTGTTTGAGTTGCTTTGTTTTATCCTTTAAACATCAAACTTTATGTAGTTTTAGGTTATTTTTGATAAAAGTTCCTACATTATGCAATGCAAGAGGAAGAGGAAGATTCCTAACTTATGGATGAAAATAAAAATAAAAAATCATTTCTAAACAGGATCTCTCAAAATCAGAGAAACAGAACCCAGAGGGTGTTGTTGTTGTTTTGCTTTGTTTTATTTTATTTATGTTTTTAAAAGATCTACCCTGTGGTCACAACCCTGGTTTACGGGGAGACATTATGCAGTCACAATTTTCTGTTACCATAACTTAGTCTGTAGGTGTACATGGCGTGGAGGGTACCAAGTTCTGGGTTATTTGAAACTAACACTTAAAATGCAGCCTTCCTTCATCATTGGAAGACATGTTGACATATTTGAAAGCTTTCTCTATATTTAACAGAGAGGTGGCTCAAGGTTAAAAGAAATGGAAACTATTCAGAAGGGTGAATCTTTTTAAAAGTACTTTTTGTCCTTCAGGTTGGAAAAATGGATGAGAGCTCCATAAGTTAGAACCTTGGCTGACCTGAAAATATGATCATCTCACTTGCAAATACCCAAAAAGATTTTAAATGCCATTCAAGTTAATGTTTAGAAAACACGATTGCAGATACAACTTTGCCATTCACATGGTTCTCTGTTGCTTGATAGTATTGAAGAAAACACTAACAAGCATATCAACTATTATAATAATAAACCAGTAAAATATTAGTTTTCAGAATGTCACAAATTGACATAGCACATCAACTGCAAATAATTCTGTTATTTTAGATTGCTGAAAAGGAAGCTTTTAGGTTGTGTGGTTGTTTCATTACCAGATATTTGTGTGTTCATAACCCATTTCTAATAATCTCAGAAATCAGTCTGATTCTGGATTCACAGTTATTTTGTAATGTCTGTTCATATCACACGTGCAGGGCCTGAGAAGGCCAGGCTTTGGCTTGCCTCCCTGGCCTGGTATCTCTCCTCTCTTACCTTCTATGATGTAGACACACTCTCGGTCAGGGGGGGTACTTGCTGGGGTAATTGGGAGAGGTAAAGACACCCCCCTCTGCATGCTTTGTCCAAGTTCCACACTGCACTGACTTCTGTGTTTCCGAGGTGATTTGTTTTTCTATAAAATAAAACACATTTTTAAAAAGAACCATCATCCAATATTTTATAACACCAAAAATAGAGAGGATATTCTCATAATATCCATTAGTAAATTAATTTCAAGATAGTCTTTTAGTCAAGGCCAGTCTATTATACACTCTATGAGATGTCCAGCTATTCTGGAATGGGTATGGTAAAATAGGAAAATGCAAAATAATTAGACATCTCCATTAGCTTTTTTTTTTAATCAACAAAAAATGAAAAACAAAACACACCTGTTCCTTTCTTGGTAGCTCCAGAGGAATGGAGGATGATTAAACTTGCTATAACTGAAACAGAAAAAGAACAATTATAAATTTAAAATTCACAACCAAAATGACCAAACCTTGTACAACCATAAGACAAGTTACAGGTAAGATGATACCAAAATAGAATAATTTAATCATTGTTAATCCTTACAAAGTTGTCTCAGAACTTTGGAAATCTAATTCAAAATGTTCTAAGTAAAATGTGGGACTCTCATAAGGAAGTACTTCCTATTCAAAGCAAATGAGACCCAAACTCTTCAAAGCTATAAACAGTGTTACACTCTGCAAATGTCACACAGACTGCCAGGAGGTCTCCAGGTCTCTCTGCAGTAAAGGACCCCTTGCTAAGACCTCTGTCAGCTTCTGTAGAGGGAAAGGAGGACCATGAGTAGACGGAGGAAGGGAGATGGGAAAAACCAAATCTCCATGGTCCACCCTAACATATTGCCAATAAGCTTGGAGTGTAGAATGTAAACGATTCTGTAAAACCTATGGGGGGGGGGAGGATGAGTGCAAGAGAAAACCGATCAAAGTGGATTGGTCGGCGTTGAAACAGAACTCCAGGAAGGTTTTGTTCGTTTGTTTGATTGTTTGTGCTAGTTTAGTTTTTGCTTGTTTGTTTAAAAAAAAAAAAAAAAAAAAAAACTAACCCAATTACCAACTAGCCCTGTGTGTGACATTCTCCTGCTGCGAAATTCATCATTTCTAACCCGAACTGTGATTCTAAACTGGCTATCATCCAGTAGTAGACAACATTTTTGAAAAAGGGGATTTCTAGAAGCATCCATGGAGTCAGTTCAGGGTCAGAGACTCTGGTCTGCCACTGAACAGTAAGTCTGCAATGCTGTGAGGATCTAAACTTCTCTTTACTTCTTCCTTCACTCAGAAACGTCAAGAGAAACCCAAAACTAGAAAAGTGTTAAAAATGCATCTGGTCTTGGTAATAACTGACATTTCTTTAAATGAAACCATTTTGATTATTTATTTTGACCAATTACATAAAAGCTCTTCCTTTGCACATTTCCACCTGAAACTAATTTAGGGCGAGGAAGTGGGGGCATCAACCAACCATCTTACCTAAGGCACACCATTATTCTCAGAAAAATTATCTGAGTCCTGACATTAAGTTTCCAGTAATTATCAACTGCACTACTTTATACTTTGGCCAGGTCGTCCATCTACTCCTAAGATTCAAAGACTGGTTGTCTGTGTGTGTGTGTGTGTGTGTGTGTGTGTGTGTGTGTGTGTGTGTGTGTGTAGATCTTTCCTAACTTGCTGTAATTCTGTAACTCCCTCCCCCACCACAGGCACAAAGATGCTCCAGGCATATCAGTGTGTACATTTGGCCTTTTTACTCTGCTTTTCCTATTTTGATGGAATCACACAGAGGACCTGTATGATGCTGAACTCGTGAATTAAGATCTCTTAGTAGAGTGGCACACATTTAGCCCGTCAGTCCTTGCTTCATAATATGACATTCCCACCACACATTTTCTGACATTGCCTTTAATGACTGACTTCTGAACCTGTTTGCCTCCACTCCTCTCCATCTCACCCCCACCCCTTACCACACTCTGAAGCAGAATTAGAGCTTTAGGGGCAGAGGCTGGGATGTACTCTACCCCAAATCCCTGGGTTCAGGTGTGCACCAGCTTACCTGAGGAATAGAAGGTGGGCCCGTGAACCGCTGAGCCCCACAAAGGAGAATTATTCCTTCTTACCCAGCAAAGATCAATCCTGCTACCTCCCTGTGTCGACCTGCATCCTCTCGGGGGCCCATCATCTCCTGCACGTGTCTACTTTTTAACTACATGCTCCTCTGGACCACCCAGAGATCCTGCCTACAGAGAAACGGCTTTCCCTGACCAACTCTGAGGTCCAGCGCCACTCTGTGCGCCGCCCCCGCCAGGCTGTATGATGCTGCAGTACTGAAAGTTTACATCTGCCCCAGACTCCAAGGGACTGCGGGGTCTGGTTGGAGTGGTTGGCAGGGCTTTTCCCAGCGCATGGGGCCAAGAGGCGAGGTGGCAGCACCCCGGGAACGGACTGGCACTGCTGGAGAGGTACTCACTGTGAAACAAACTGCGTCCATAGATCATGTCTGTGCGTTACACCAGAGGCTCCGATCTCCACTAATTCCATTTAGAAACGGGGAGACTTCGTGGGTAGGGAGAGGATGGAGTCCAGAGATTTTAAATATGCAAACCACGGGCAAAATACAGTGGGGGGAAAGCGAGAGAGGAAAGAAAGCGATCGCGATCGGAACTGTTCTGTCTTCCGCCCTTGGCTGGCTCTCGCCCTCCTTTGCTCTCTCACCGCCTCGAAGCCAGCGTCTCCACCATGACGCTCTCATCACACCCGGGCGCCGACCGCCACCATCAGCACCGCCGCCGGCAGCACCCTCCTCCTCTGCATCATCGCCGCCGCCGCAGCTGTCAGGAGGACGCGGCGGGCAGTCGGCGCGCGGGCGGCGGCAGGCGCGGGGCGAGCCCCGGGGCGCCCAAAGCCGGGACCCGATCTGGACCCGGCGGCAGAAGGCGCAAGGCGGGGACTGGTCCGGACCGACGGCAACAACTGGGAGGGCGACAGCGAAGGCGGCGGCAGGGGCTTGCTCAGTCGCCGGTCTCATCCACCAGGAGCACCAGGTCCGAGCAGCGTCGCCGGGAGGATGTCCAGCCGCAGCCCTCCTCTCTCCAGCCTTTGGGGGTCTTCTGCTGAGGCATTGAAGGCAGGAGGCAGGGGTCCGTCATGGGCTCGGCAGGCTGCGCGCCACCTCTGCGATCTTGCAGGGAAAGGAACCTAAGGGTGGGCGTCTGGGGGCGGGGGAGGGCTCAAGGGTGGTGGAGGGGAACACGGGGGCGGTTAAAGGGGGAGGGGAAGGGAGGGAGAGGAAGATCAAGAATATGGCAGAGTTACCAAGTGAGCGCCTTAGTCATAGCTCCGGGTTGCATGACCCTCCAGGAAGCCCAAAGCCTGGGTGAGACTGGGCAGCTGAGCACCGCTGGTGCCCCCAGGGCTGGTGCGAGGCGCAATGGGGCGGCGGCGACAGCAAGGACATCACAGCGGCTTGGTTCGTGGGGGAGGGGGAGGGGGTGAGGACCAGGCTGGGCTCCTTCCCTCAGCCAGCTCTGGCAGAAGGGTCCAGAGCAGCTTCGCAAATTCCCCACTGCATCTCAGTGGAGGGCGAAAGGCGTGGAAGGGGGAGGGGCCATCATGCGAAAATTCCCCTTCGAGTTTGGTTTATCACTTTTTAAAGATTTGAAACGACTGTCTCCCGTCCCTCCAATTGGAGCTTTCTAGTCCCCTCTTCTAGAGGGTGAAGACTTCACCTTTTAGCCGCTGGGCTAAGATCGGAAGCCCCGCGCTGGAAGAGAAAGGAAAGCGGTAAAAGTTTCACGATTAATCACCGGAGGAGATCCTCACGAGAATCCTACCAAACTGCTCCTGCAAAGACGCGGCCCCTTGAAATGTATCTTTCTCGGAAAAATACTCAAAACCGTCCAAAAGCAAACACGGATCACCCCACCCCAATACACACAAACGCGCGCGCACGCTGCTCGTCAAACTCCGAGGAGAGAGGAGTTGGTGGAAAAACAGCAGGAAGAACCCTAATATGTAAAAATGCGAATAGATGAATGTGAAATCACAGTAAAAACGAGGCAGCGCCATGAGGTGGGGTGGGGTGGGGTGGCGGGGGCTGAAGCTGACAGCACTGGGCAGTCCCTCCTCCCCTGACAGTACAGCACCTCCTTCCACCTCTGCCCAGAAGCTCCGGGATCACACACTGACTCCCAGGCCTCTGCTGACCCCGCCTGTGCTGACCACAGCGGGGCGAGCTGGACCTCCGCGGTGCAGCCCCAGGGGGTGAGAGACCCTCTGGCGCCTGCAGCACTACCTGGCAGACTGCGCCCCAGCTGGGGATCACAGTAGTAAGGAAAGGGAGGGTGGAAAGAGTCAGCGTGGCAGACAGCAAATGTATACGTGAGGCTGCAAAGACAGGGTCTCTTCAGAGAAGGCCAAGAAAGGCCTTGGAAAGAGACAGATGAGCGCTCCAGAACCAGAGCTACAGCCATGCACCTGCTGCTGAGGCTGGAGCTGCCCATGTGGTTGTGTGGGTGTCTGCCCAGTGGGCGTGTATGCAGTGATCCTGTCCACAGGTTCTCATAGTGGAGCTGGAGAAGGTGAAGTGAGGCTCGCGCGGTGAGGACCAATGAGTGACTCTAGTCTAGTGGGAATCGGCACTCAAATGCAAGCCTCTGGTTCCTGGATATTCAGGACTGCAAGTCTTGAATGGTAAAGAGAGTAAACAGAGCCCATTTAGACTAGATGACCAGATGTAGCCAAGGAGGCAAGAGAATTAGAGCAAACAGGCAAGAAGAGAGAGAAAAAAGAGAAGGAAGACGGTAGGAGGGAGAGGAGGGAGACAGAGAAGGGAGGGGAGTAGACAGTAGACAGGGAAGAGGGGAGGGGAGGAGAGGAAAGAAAAGAAGGGAAGGAGGGAGGGAGAGAGGGAGGGAGGGAGAGAGGGAGAGAGAGAGAGAGAGAGAGAGAGAGAGAGAGAGAGAGAGAGAGAGAGAGAGAGAGAGAGAGAGAGAGAGAGAGAGAGAATCTGAATTGGAGGAGAGAACACGGTGCCTCCTAAAGGAAACCAATTTCTCTTGAAGTCAGGCAGACCTGTGAGAGGAGCTATGAGCTTGGAAAAAGGGAAAGCTGTGCTCATGGATGCTGCTGAGCCGGTGAGTCTCACACTTAGTTGCAGGTGGACTATGGGAATGTCCTATGGGAAGTTCTGTGACCCTCACGTGATTCTTGTGCCAATAGGGGGGTGAGGTGGGAATGGGGGTGGGGAAAACAGATTAGAGGCGGTGGAAGCCAGGAAGTCCCCCAACTGTGAAGAAGGAAAAGAGATGCTCAAGCAGTGATGAGCATGACAAAGAGTGACAGTGAAATCAGCTTACTGGGAAAAGAGTCACCTTTAAGCAGAGGGTGGGCTTCTTGGCAAATGGCTGGTTGCTTGAGATGAAAGTTGGGAATGGGAATTCTGAAAAGGAGATGGCTGTCTTTAGACAGATCCACAATGTGCCGTGTTTATAAAATGACAAAATTCTTCAAAGAAACTGTGGCAAACATTTGGAGTAGTTTTACAGAAGATTTTACTGCATTTTCAACTGCTGATTGAATACAGGAAAAAAGTTCTGTTTGCATACTAAACTCCCACTCCAAGTACCCTCCTCTTTCCTTTTAGTCCAGTTTGTTTGCCTAGTCAGATGGTCCTTGTATCAGAAAGTAGGGTGCACTACATGACTACACATCTAAAGGCCCATCACAGTAAATGCAGAGAGGAAATCTCAGGAAAGGGAGGGGCAGAAGAAGAGAGGGCCAGGATACCTAAGAGTTACCCAAGCCTCTGCTGTAAATCAAGTTCTCATAGTAGCCTGCCTAGTGTTCAGTATCCAGGGTACTTGTGGGCAGTGCCTAAGGCTAATAGTCCTTGCATCAGCTCCACCCTAGGTGCAGAAGGAAAGAGGACATACTTCTGACCCCTCCACCACCAGGTCCCTCCACTGGGACTGCAGATGTCCAAGTAATGGCTCTGCTCTCCTGAGCCTCCCAGGCTGCAGGGGCTTCTCTTTCTTTGATCCCATTCTATTTCCTTCTGCCCTCATACAGGCATGCTCTCACAACCCTCTTGCTTCACAAGCTGGCTTCTCATTCTTAAGAATCCTTGAAGGACCACTTGCTGAGCAATGCTACCTCCCTAATAGGAGCCCAGGAGCTCTTTCTTTTTAAAAAGCTATGGGGAAAAGTTCAGTTTCCCTAAGAGAAACCTATGAATACCTAGGGTCAACTTACATGGTGTGGTTGTTTTGAAAGGAGCGCCTAATAAACTAGTATATTTTTGAGTTCTGTATACCACCCTGCCATGATTCTAAAGGACTAGAATTAAAATAGTGACTACTACAGGAAACAGCGAAAAAATTAAATCTTTATGGACCCAGTAAGTGTCCTTGGTTACCTCCCAGCTTGCACCAGCGTAACAATAAAGGGGTAAGGAAGAGTCCCAAATCCTAACTGAAGAGGTGTGTATCTTCACACTGAAATGCAAACATTTGTCTGCACGAATGTAATTCTTTATAGAGAACACTACCCTCTCCACACACACATATGAACTTGACCACTATGGATCCCTTGTTAATCTCCTCTACTTTACTGGAACAACCTGTGTGTTGCCTTTCTCCTGTTAAAAGGGGTGATGCTACAAGAACTAGAATATTGTTTATTTTTACTCATTAACCTCTCAGTATTCAAACAATATAGTTATATTTGTTCCTTTACCCATTACTATGATAAAACATCTGACAAACTAATATAAGGAAATGTGTATTTGGTCATACAGAGCAAGACTAAAGTCCACCACAGCAGGGACAGCACGGTGGTTTGAGGCAGATGGCCACATTGCACCTGTAATCAGGGAGCAGAGAGATGACTGCTGGAGCTCAGCTTGCTGGCTCCTTTCCCCCTTCACTCAGTTCACAAGCCAGCACTCAGAGTGGTGCCCCTCCCATTCAGGGTGAGTCTCTTCTAGAAGGGATTCATTTTGGTCTACTGTATAAAAGGAAGCAGACCATCTTGGTGGGGAAGTCGTAGCGGCAGGAGTATGAGGTGGCTAGTCACTTTAGAAGCACAGGAAACAGACCAGGATGAAGGTTGATTCCCAGATCATCCCACTCCCTTTTACTCAGCCCAAAAACCATCCAATGGCATGTTACCACTCATATTTATAGGGCAGCTTCTCAGTGAAATCTCTTTGGAAACTCTGGAAGAGACATATGCAAAAGTAAAATATCCACTTAAGGTTCTAAGAACATGGTTAGGTCAGTAACATACTTGATGTACAAGTATGAGAATCTGAGTGTGGATCCCTAACACCCATCAACAAAGGCAGATTTAGTAACCTTGTGGCTTCCTCAGCACTGGGGTTTGAACAGGGGCCTGTTGAACCCCAAGTCTAGTCAGTCAGTGAGCTCCATACTCAGCGAATCCCTCCATGGCCTCAGCATCACATCTGCCTCCAGGTTCCTGCCCTGTTTGAGTCCCTGTCCTGACTCCCTTCAGTGACAAACAATGATGTGGAATCATAAACCAAATGAAGGCTCTCCTCCCCAAGTTGCTTGGGTCATGATGCTTCATCACAGCGATAGTAACCCTAAGTAAGACAAATTGCTTATTAAAAAAAATAAGATTGGGGTTTGGCAAGGTGGTTCTTCCGGTAATGATGCTTGCTCCATAAGCCTAGACACCTGAGTCCAGTCCCAGAAACCTGCATAAAGGTAGAAGTAGAGAATTGGCTTCACAAAATTGTCCTCCTCAGCCTCCACATTTGTGCAATGGCATGAATTATGGAACACACACACACACAATAAACTGAGTATGTAAGTAACATCATTTCAGCATGTGGTACTAGACTGTAATCCCAGTTACTTGAGGCCTGTCTAGACTACACACTTAGTTCAAGATTATCCTGAGCAACTTAGTGAGATGCTATAATAAGAATTGTGCATGCAGTTCAGTGATAGAGCAATTACCTTGTATACGTGGGTCTCGGATATCACTCTAAAGTGTTAGAAAACAATCAAATAAAAACACAAATTTTAAAAAAAATGTAATCACGGCTGGGGCAGGGGCATGAGAAAAAGGGGAAGTGGGAGTAGGTTAACCAAAATTAAGGATGTATGAAAGCTAACTAGTTTGTAAGCAAATATATATATATATTTGTTGCTCCTGGGAGTTGTGAGTTATTAAATGGAGATCTCAGCTCCAGTCATGGGTTATTAGACTATGAGTTATTGATGAGAAAGCCCCAAGAAATACCCAAAATTATATAGGTTATTGCCATTGCTCTTTGTTATCTATCACAAGTAGTTGTAAAGATTCAATTGTGAAGATACCACTCACTTTGATTGCAGGACACAGAGAAATAAGGCTTGAAATGACTGGGAAACTCTACCTGCTGGTTAGTTTCCCAGAGCTGGAAGGTGCTGTGAGGCTAGTGAGGAGAAAAGACATCACTAGTCTCATTAAGCACTAAATCCTTCTTGTTATAACACTGACTTGACAGGCAAGACGAGGCCACTGGTGCAGCAGGGGTAAGACTGTACATGGAGTTAACCAGCTGCTGTGAGAATGTGTGGAACCTCGTTTAGGGGCTTTCTCTGTAGCATCACATCACAGGCTTTCTCCACTGCTGCTTCGGGAAGAAAACACACATTTCCAACAGTTATTTTAAAATAGATTTGAAAAATATTTGGAAACAATAGATATTTTGGAAGTATGGTTTTTTGTTTTGTTTTTGTTTTTGAGACAGGGTTTCTCTGTGTAGTTTTGGTATCTGTCCTGGATCTCACTCTGTAGACCAGGCTGGCCTTGAAACACAGAGATCCTCCTGGCTCTGCCTCCGGAGTGCTGGGATTAAAGGCGTGTGCCACCATCACCTGGATGTTTAGGAAGTATGTTAAGCTGAAGATAAGTCTACATATTTTGTCAAAGTATAATTAATGACTCGAAACATTACTTAAAACTGATAAATCAGATATATGAATATTACTTCAAGGATAGATATATATTTTATTAATAATTGAAAGAAATACATTAATGATATCACAAATTTATTGACCATGGCCCCATAGAACACATTGTTTGTTATGTGACTAAGGAAAATACTAAAAGTTCAGAATTATTTGTATAAAATAACCTTGTATTATAAAATGGAATGGGCCTCACATACTCAAGAAATATATTTTGATTGGGAGAAATGAAATAAATGATGAATGAATCATTGATTTTTCTTAAATAATAAAATAATTCACCCATTTTAGTGATTCTTTGTCTTAATTAGGGTTTCTATTACTGCGATATAACACTATAAACCAAAAGCAAGCTGGGGAAGAAAGGGTTTACCTGGCTTACACTTCAGCATTGCTATTCATCACTGAAGGAAGTCAGGACAGGAATTCAAACAGGGCAGGATCCTGGAGGCAGGAGCTGATGCAGAGGCCATGGAGGGGTGATGCTTACTGGTTTGCTTTACATGGCTTGTTCAGCCCACCTTCTTAATACCGAACCCAGGACCAGCAGCCCAGGGATGGCACCACCCACCAAGGGCTGAGCTTTCCCCCATTAATCACTAATGATTAATTAAATAATTAATCATTAAATAATTTCATTGAGACAATGCCTTACAGATGGATATCATGGAGGCATTTCCTCAGCTGAAGCTCCTTCCTCTCTGATAATTCTAGCTTGTGTCAAGGTGATACACAAAACCAGCCAGTCCACTAGGTTATACAGTAGTTTCATCTTTTGAGAAATCGCCACACTGATGTTTAAGAATAAGTGTCCCAAGATATATTCATTAACATTTTCAATATGAAAAGAAGAGAGAGAAAACTTTCTATCCCTAGTTTTAAAATAAGCAAATTACAAAATGATGCAATTGCTTATAGTAGCAGATCCATGGAACATTAATACCTACTACTTATAGTTATTATAATCTTCAAAAACCACGAACACTATGATGGTGTTTCAACTATATTTTAATTTAAAACATAAACATTTAAACTAGTTTTCTAATTGGTTTATACAGTTATTTTATCGATTTATTTCTCTGGAACATAAAAGGTGATTTGTATTTATCATCATGGTACCTAGAATCCTGAATCCTGTTAAAATAGTAAAGTGATGCCTCTCTAACGGAATGAGAAGAAAGAGCAGGCGGTGACAGGAACTGGCAGCAGTCACATTACAAGGAGGATACTGAAAGTCACTTTTACAAAGCCCTGGGAGGGAGTGTGGCTTTGTCAGATGGGGAGAGGTAAGAGAACACAAATTTTATATATGCATATCATACAGATTTGAATATTTTCCTCTGTAAAGATATTTTATATTTTGTGTTTTTGGAGTACATAGGGTAGGTTATGTGATTTTTTTTGTGTGTGTGACAGGAATTGATTATTCACATCTAATTGTCATAAATGAGCTTAAGTCTGAAGTAAAACCTGAGAGAACTAAGTTAAGTAATGTTAATTTTTAACTGGAAAGCATAGCAACCTTCTGATCCAAAGGTTACATAAGCTTCTGCTTTTGAGTCATGCCTTTTATTAGTCTAATTCTGGATAAGTTCTGCTTCCTTCCTAAGTCCTCCTGTAGGGGATGGAGGGAGGAGAGGTAACCACTGATGTAAGAACACTGAATGTACAAGCATGCGGCTTTGAGTTCAGAATCCATGCAAAAAGCCAAGTGTGACCCCATGTCCTTGTAAACCCAAGACTGTGGGGGGCAGGGACATGTCTGTTGATCTCTAGGTTTGGGTGGCTACCAACCTAGTTCCATGCATTGTGAGAGACCATATCTCAAAGAATAAGGCAGTGAATGATAGATCAAGAAACCTCATTTCCTTGTACACATGTACACTCACCATACACACACACACACAGAAAACTCCGTTGGACTCTCTCCTAAGTGCCAACAACTTACTTAATTTGAAGGAATGTTTGACAAGGGATCCTCAGTACATTCAGCCATATAGGAAATGTCTGCACTATTTACCACTTCATTTGTACAAACAGCTTTATGTACCTAATGACCATTTTATTTTATTTTATTTTTTAATTTAATTTGTGGTGCTGGAATTCCAAGCCAAGGTATCATGCATACTAGGAAAGTAACTGAATCTATAGACCTGAAACTTTATCAACACTTTTTTTTTTTCAAACAGGGTCTGTTATGTAGTTCAAGATGTCTTTGAACTCATAATCCTCCTGCTTCAACTTCTGGAGGATTGAAATCATAATACTGCACTGTACAGTCAACCTCTATCAATGCTTTCGTGACACACATTTTTGTCATTTAGGACACTGGATACAGCTACAGGTATTAGAGTGTATTCACCTGGATTCTGCATGCATTTCAATTACAAGCCTGATCTGTCCCATCTGAATTGTTTTTTTTTTTTTTTTTTTTTTTTTCAGATGGGGAAAATGAAGTAAGAACAAGTGCAACGATTTCTATGTCCCTTTATTTTATCTTAACTGATGTAATCCCAGATCTTCCAACTGGCTGATGACAGAATTCAGGTTTTAGATACTCTCTCTTGATTCCAGAGAAAGGCAAACATGTTCTGTACTTTTTCACTTGCTTCCTACTTGCTGGAGTGTCACCTCAGACATGCTGGATTAATCAGTATCAACGAGGGTTAATAGCAAAGCAGTGGGAGTCACTGCAGAGAGCAGTACATGGAGCAGGTATTTCTTGCTAAAATGGTAATCTTGTGTTATTGCACATTCTTACTGGAAACACACCATAAAGATGCATCATATAGAGGGAGAAGGTAGCATGTATTTATGAACTATAGACTCACCACTCACATCATAGCAACTTGAACCATTGGAAATATCAACCCTTTAATATGAGTTTTACATTGTTGAAATGTGAAGTAGGAAATTATGAAGAATGGAATCAATAATATTTTTTCTTAAATTTCAGGTTTGCTGAAATTTAATCATTAATAGTAATTATTGAGGTTTTCTTAGCCTATGTGATCTCATCTGTAACTCATCAACAATGAAGCACAGAACTGTATGATTACACAGTAAGTACTAAATATAGTGACTAACCTATATAAATAAATATTGCTATTTTCATTGACACAATGATCAGTTTTTCTATACTTGGCATATGAAAGCAAATGCAAGTAGACCTAGGTAGTTGGAAGATTTCTATACCTGTAGCTGCATACCTGAATTTATTATTTTATCACTGTCCATATCAGTACTTACATTTATCTATGTATCTGTATTATCTATATCATCCAGCCGTGGTCATTATGTCCAATATTTAGTAAGAGAGAACCTCAACTAAGAAAATTGTTTCTATGAGGTTGTCCTGTAGGCAAGCTTGTGGGGGCATTTTCTTGATTAATGATGGGAGAGGGCCCAGCATTCTGTGGGTGATGTCACTCCTGGGCTGGTGGTCCTGAGTTATATAAGGAAAAAAGCCAACAAGCAATGGGAACAAGCCAATGAGTAGCATCCCTCCATGGTCTCTGATTCAGTTCCTGCCTCCAGATTCCTGTCTTTTAAGTTCCTGCTCTGACTTCTCTGGATGATATAATGGACTGTGACAAGAAATTTAAGCCTTTCTCTTCCTCCCTCTCTCCTTCCCTCCTTTTTCTTCCTTCCTTCCTCCTCCTTCCTCTTCTGCCCTTGCCCCTCTTCTTCTCCCTCCTCCCCTCCTCCCCTTCTCCCTCCCTCCCTCCCTCCCTCCCTCCCTCTCTCTCTCTCTCTCTCTCTCTCTCTCTCTCTCTCGTTCTTTCCTTCCTATATTTGCATTGTTCTAGTTTTGTAAACACTCACCTTTCCTTTTCATATAACTTGTCTCTGTCTGTCAAGGTACTTCATATCATATTTAAGAATATTTTATTAGAGTTATGTGGGTGTGTATGTTCACCAACCACGTGTAGGTTCATAAGTTTGTGAGCTCTGTGAATCTAGAGGCAAACCTTGGTTGTCATTTCTAAGATGCTGTCCATTTTCCTGGATTCAGGATCTTTCATTGCCTGATACATGCCAAGTAGGCAGGATGGCTGGCCAGTAAGGTCCATGGATATTCTTGTCTCCATTTTCCCAGCACGGCATCATAAGCATCTATCACTGTTCCTGGTGCACTCTGTCTCTCTCTGTTTCTTTGTTTCTGTCTTGTCTGTCTATCTGTCTGTCTGTCTCTCTTGTGTGTGTGTGTGAGGGGGGAATGTGTGTGTGTATGTGTATGTGTGTATGTGTGTGTGTAGATGTAACCAACCATCTTATTAAATAAGAAACACAGAGCCAATACAGAGATGAAAGCCAAGAAGTCAGAGCAATACCTAAGAGCTAAAAACCTTACCCTTCACTTTCGCTGTTGTCCTACCTCTCTGAAGAAGAGACCCACTTCTTGTGTGTCTGTCTTTTTATAGAGTTTCTGTTCTGTCTTCTCATTGGTTGTAAACCCAGCCACATGACCTTCTAGTCACTGCCTGACTACAGACCTCCAGGTCTTCTATGGTTGGTATTGAGATTAAAGGCGTGTGTCTCCATGCTGGCTGTATCCTTGAACACACAGAGATCTGCTTAGCTCTGCCTCCCAAGAGCTGGGATTAAAGGCGTGCACCACCACCACCCAGCTTCTGCTAAAGCTTGCTATTAGCTCTGACCGCCAGGCAACTCTATTTATTAACATACAAATCACATTTTAGTACAAATAAAATATCACCGTGTGTGTGTGTGTGTGTGTGTGTGTGTGTGTGTGTGTGTGTGTGTCCAAAGTTGATGCCGGGCATCTCTTCCCTCTTTTTTATCCTTATTTATTTTGTTACTTTTCAGGTTTTTAAAACTTATTTTTTGCTGGTCGGTGGTGACACACGCCTTTAATCCCAGCACTCGGGAGGCAGAGGCAGGCAGATCTCTGTGAGTTTGAGGCCAGCCTGGTCTACAAAGTGAGTTCCAGGAAAGGCAAAAAGCTACACAGAGAAACCCTGTCTTGAAAAACCAAAAAAAAAAAAAAAAAAAAAAAAAAAAAAAAAAAAAAAAAAAACAAAACAAAACTTATTTTTTAATTAAAATATAATTACTCCATGTCCCCTCTTCCCTTTTCTCCTACCAACTCCTTCCATGTAACTCCTCCCTTGCTTTCTTTAAAATTTATAGTCTATTTTTCTTTTATTTTTTTTTTATATATATATACACAGGCACACACACAGAGGCACACACAGACAATACTAAGTAAATAAATATAACTTGCTCAGGTTCCATGTAATTTAGAGCTAGTCCTCAGGGAGCTAGCTTCCATGTTGGATACAGCTCAGACCACACAGGACCTGTGTCCAAAGTAGATGATGTCTACAGATAAAGAGACTTCCCTTAAACCTCTGGGAAGCAACCAAAGGCAACAGCAATAGCCTTGAGGAGTCTTTTGACCAACAAATAAAAGCAGAGATTCTCATGGATAGTGTTGGAGTTTCTGTCAGATAGTCTCTAGGCCTTGCCAATCTGGATGAGAAAATTTTGTTTAGACTCTATATGTATACTTGGACTTACATTATTATATTAGTTTTATGTAGAGAGATAATAATATGATTCCTCTTGATGTTTTCAGATATGCTCACTGTTTATTTTACCCTCTTCCCTATTTTTCTTTAATTATTATTTCCCTTCCACTACCTGATTAACTCTCCATTTTCCCATTCAAATGACATGTATCTATCTCCCTCTCTCCTGCCTGCCCCTTTGGTAAAATTTACATATCACCAGGAGTAGTAAAATTTCCTCTGCCAATGATATTAGTTCAGAACTCTTCAATTTAGCCCCTGACAGACTTTTTGGACAAGAACAAGATAGCAGCCACATTCTTTGACAAAATAACACAAGAATGATCTCTAGACCACTTAGTAATATTCTTTCCTCTGAAACTTCTTGAGCTGAGCTTCCATAGACCACATTGTTCTCAGCACTACTAATTTCCACACTCCTACTAGCATGTCTCATTGACATTGCTTAAAGGATTCGACTGCTTTTCTAGTCCAAAGTACTAAGTCTTTCATATTCCTTCAAACATCATTATGGTCACGCTTGCAATACTCCACTCCTAGTATCAACATCTGTCTCAGTTAGGGTTACAGCCGCTCCGACCCAAGTAAAAACACAGAGATTATATTACTTATAGACTGTATGGCCATGGCAGGCTTCTTGCTATCTAGTTCTTATATCTTAAATTAACCCATTTCTGTTAATCTACAAGTTACCATGTGGCTTGTGACTTACTGGTAATTTACATCTTATTTCTCATGGCAGTGGTGGCTGGCAGCATCTCCTGACTCAGCCTTCCACTTGCCAGAATTCTCCTCTCTGCTTATCCTGCCTATACTATATTTCCTGCCTGGCTACTGGCCAATCAGTTTTTATTTGTCAATCAATCAGAGGAACACATTCACAGCATACAGAAAAACATCCCTAGCATTACACAATGACTGAAGCAATTGTAAAAGAAAGCATTTAACTGGGGACTTGCTTGCAGTTTCAGAGGGTGAGTCCATGACGGTCATTGTAGGGGTTTTTGGTGGTAAGAGGGCAGGCAAGGCACTGAAACAGTAGCTGAGAGATAACATGATCCACGAGTTTCAGGAGAGACAGAGAGAAAGACAGGGCATACTGAGTCTGGTATAGGCTTTTGGAACCCCAAAGCCCACCCTCAGTGACATACCTCCTTCAACAACAAGTCCACACTTCCTCCAGCTAGGCCACAATTCCTAATACTTCTCAAACAGGTATGATTGCTAGGGGCCAAGCATTCAAACATAAAAGCCTATGTTTTTTTTTGGGGGGGGGGGGCATTCCAATTCAAACCACCACAGGAAGATAAGTTGGCCTCACCTGGCAGAGAGTTTGGATGTAACGCATCAGGAGACTGAAGATTGATGATAGATGGGGCAGGTCCTAGTCAAAGCCTGGTCAGAGTTGTGGTTGGCACAAGCTCAGATGGTTATACCATGCCAAAGCACTGAATACTGGACTTATGGTAGGTCTGAGGGACTGGGAAGGTATATGGAGCGGAACATCAGGAAGGACCCTTTCAGTCCTCCCCTCAATCCTGGCGGAGTTTCTTACTGAGTCTGTAGATTATTGCTTAGCCTAGACAGGCTGGCAATGAGCTTCGGGAATCTATCTGTCTCCACTTCCTTACTCTCCACATGTATTAAGGCTAAAGTTACACACCTAAGTCACCATACTTGGGTTTTTAAGTGGGTTCTGGGGATCCAGCTGGGACAGAAGTACTTCCCAGGATAGCACTTTACCCACTAAGGCATCTGTACAGACTTACTTCATTAGTGTTTAAAATTAGCATACAAAGCAATCATAGCATTTTCACATAAATTCTTCTTCTTGATCCTCTGTATCCCCCAGACCCTCCGATCTCTTCGTCTGATCCTGGGGGTCTCTTTCTTCCACTTTTATAGTTTCTCCCCTTCATGCTACCATATTCTGTTAACTCTTTTAATACCAGTAGGTGATGGCAGGAAGCAGAAAGGTATATAAAGCGTGAGGACCAGGAACTAGAGCCTAGTTAAGCTTTTGGATTTTGAGCAGCAGTTCAGCTGAGACTCATTCAGATGAGGACACAGAGGCTTCCAGTTTGAGGAAACAGAATCAGCTGAGGAATTGGTGAGGCGAGTTTAACTGTGGCTGATTCTATTTCTCGGATCTTCCAGCATTCACCCCAATACCTGGCTCCAGGTTTGTTTTTATTAATAAAACCTTCTAAGATTCCTGCTACAGATCTGTCTCCTCTTCTCTTCTCTTCTCTTCTCTTCTCTTCTCTTCTCTTCTCTTCTCTTCTCCTCTCCTCTCCTCTCCTCTCCTCTCTCTCTCTCTCTCTCTCTCTCTCTCTCTCTCTCTCTCTCTTTCTCTTTCTCTCTCTCTCCCTCTCAATCAAGGTCCAAGGTCTCCTTTCTAATTTCAAGACCTATACTGGGATTGAAATTTAAGATCTCCTTTTTAGAGTAAATGTGGTATTTGTCTTCCTCAATATGGCTTATTTGAGTTAACATAATCATTTCCACTTTTATCCATTTCTCTTTAATATATATAGGTCTTGGCAGGAATTTTCTGGAAAGAATTGTACTAGCATAAGGAATAACTCCAATAATTAGTAAATGGAAAAGTATGAAAAACCTTTTGTGTGGCAGAAGAAACAATCACCAGGGTGACAAGACAGATTCCAGAACGGGAAAACATTCTTGGTAACTATATATTAAGGATTTTATACCTAGAATATATAAAGAATTGAAACAATTAAATACTCTCATTCCCCGCCCCTCCCACAAACAACCTCCTAATGTGTAAATGAACTGATCGACTGAATAAGCAGTTCTCAAATGAAAAGACACAAATGCCAAAAAATATTGGAAAAATTTTCCACAGTCTTAGCTGTCAGGGAAATGGTTTCATTTTAAGGTTTAACTTTAAGGTTCCATCTCACTCCAGTAAGAATAGTTTTTATCCAAAACACAATTAACAAATGTTGGTGAGGATATGGGAAAAGGATAACATCACGCACTGCTTTACAGAGTGTAACCTGGTGTAGCTACTACAGAAGTCATTGGAAGTTGGCCCAGAAAACTAAAAAGGAGGCAATTTTGGCATTGCCTTTTCAGGCCCCAAAGTGTCACCTCAGGGTCCCTGGGGCCTCCAGTTCTAGCTCAGTCCCCAGACCAATGCCTCCTGCTCTGCAAAGCTGTTTCCTATAGTGGTGTTCTACTGTGCAGCCTGTGCCATCAGCTGCGGAAAATTCTTGGTATGCCCGTGTGCCTAACGTCTTGGATCTCTGTGTTCTCTGTCCTCTATATCCTCTAACACTCCCCTACAGTGATTCTCACCCTTCAATTTGCTACAGATGGCATGGCTTCTCCACACACAATAGTTTAAGATTCTTTACAGATTTTGTAATTGTTTCTGATGCAGAAGTAACAGGAAATAGAAGCTCTGAGGCCAGAGGAAACATACACTGAGAGTAGGGTTAGCCTCAGTTACATTATATTCGACTGATAACATGGTGCACAGACTCACTTGGTTTCAAGAGGATAAAAAAGAAAATACTCTACCTGCACATGGTCACATCATACAGCAGTAATTAGGATTTGTGACATTATGGTGGCCTTATAATGGAATCCACTACCACTGACTCGCTGGCACCCTGGACTAGAAGCATGAGGTGAGTGGGATGCTAAATGTTATGTGACAGAATAGCAGGATGCTGTGACATTGTAAAACCATAGAGATAGTCTGTGACTATTAAGTCAAGGGACAGCAGAGTAGGGCTATAGATCTACAGGCACAGTACACAGAATTCAATCAGGGGACAGCTGAGTGTACAGAGCTCAATGCATAATCCACAAGAATCCATTACCCTCTGGTGCACTATGTACAGTCCCTTGAGTAAGGGACGTTTACAAAGGAGGAAAGAAGCCCTTCAGCAGAACAGTAATTTGGACAGGGATACAACACCCAAAGTATAGGGAATGACTAAATGAAGAAAACAGTGTGTCTCTTCCAAGGCACATTCCAAACCACCATCAACTCAAGTGCAAAAGATGCTTATACTTAGAATTAAAGATTCTGGAATTTATTTTCCTACCAAATTAAATTTGAGCTTAGTCATGTGATGTACTTTGACCAATGAGACTTTGGCAAGAGTGATATAGAGAGAAACTCGGCAAGCACTTGCAAATTTGGGCTTTATTTCTACTGGTGAGAAGTTTTCCATTGCTAGTGGAGAAATCTATTGTAGCTTATTAAATGTGATAACTACAAGGGACAGAGAAAGGCCATGCCAGCAGAAAACTCCCTAGACAGAGTAGTAAGCCTCCTAGCCAACTGCTGTCAGTGTTTTCAATGAGATAATCTTAGACATCTAGAGATAGATGAGCTACTGAAAGAACTCCTTCAGGTACAGCTGGCTAAAGAATTATCCAGATGAGACCAGTTCAATTGCTTGCTTACATAATCAAGAAAATTGGCTATTACAGTAAGACATTAATTTTTAGAATTTTTATTTTTATTTTACAGCAAGAGTTTAATTATACAAGTGGAAAAAACGTATAAACAGCAAGTGTAATAATGATGGCTATTGAAATGAATGTTTAAAAACATTAATAGGTAGATTGGAATGAGGGAATCTGAACTATTTTTCTGTAATATCATCAGGGAAAAGCACATTGATAGGTACAGAGGTAAATACTAAAGGTTGTGCATGAGTCTCAGAATGAAAGATGGGTAAAATAATAACAAACAGGAAAGTTATATTTTAAGTAAGTGATATTATTTAAAAAGACATAAGAATGGAAACTAAAAGACATACAGAGGATAAATATTGTAGGATAAAATACATATCAGAAACTATAATAATAACATTAAGTAAAAGAAGGAAACAAAGAATTTTTGAAAACTATGCCCAAAAAAAAAAAGGAAATAAATTACAATTTCAGAAAGGGTAGTGGTCATATTTTGGATCTGCTTTTGACAAGTAATACTAGGTACAAAGAATCTGTAGAGATAAGACATTAGAAATCTAAATAAATCTCAGGAACCAAAACTGTGTGTGTGTGTGTGTGTGTGTGTGTGTGTGTGTATATATATATATATATATATATATATATAGCACAAATATATATATATATATATATATAAGCTTTCACTTAAAATTAAAAAAGGAAAGCATCTTTGTAGATATAACGATCTTATTAAATAAGAAACACAGAGCCAAATGCAGAGTTAAAAGCCCAAGAGGTCAGAGCAGTAGCTAAGAACTGAGACTAAAACCACCTTCTTATCCCTGGCTGCCACTGCCGTCCTTCCCCTGAGAAAGAGGCCTACTTCCTGTGTATCTGTCTTTTTATTGACTTTCTGTTCTGCCTTCTCATTGGTTGTAAACCCAACCACATGACCTCCTAGTTACTGCCTGTCTATACAGCCCTCAAAGTCTTCTATGGTTGGTATTGAGATTAAAGGCATGTGTCTCCATGCTGGCTGTATCCTTGAACACACAGAGATCTGCCTGTCATGTGATGGGGATTAAGAGCACGTGCTACCACAGCCTGGCTTGTGCTATGGCTTGCTATTAGCTCTGACCCCCAGGTAACTTTAATTATTAACATACAAATAAAATCACATTTCAGCACAAATAAAATATAACCATATTTCCCCCTTTCTATTTTAATAAAAGGAAAGGAAGAAGGTAATAACTAATATAAGAAAAACTATATACAAAAAGTACAATAACTATATACAATATATACAAGCAATAAATACCCAAACAATGTCTAGTCCATTTGCATTTGACAAATTCAGAGAAAATAATTCCATTATCTATCCTATTTTGGTAAGTCCAAAATGTACCTGATTCACTTTCTATCCTAACTTATATTACTAAAAATCAAATTTCAGCACAAATAAAATATCACCATACATCTTAGTTAGGATTTCTATATCTGTGATAAAATAGAACCTTAAGCAACTTGAGGAAGAAAGGGTTTCTTTCACCTTACAGCTCTCAGGTCACAATCCTCCACCAAGGGAAGTCAGGGCAGGAATCTGGAGGCAGGATCTGAAGGAGAGCCCATGGGGAATTGCTGCCTACTAGCTCGTTCTCCATGGCATGCTCAGTTGGCTTTCATACACACCACCTGCCCAGAGGCGGGCACCATTCACAATTGGCTAGACTATCTCATACTGGTCTCGAAAAAACAAAAGAACAACAACAACAAAAAATAAATAAATAAATAAATAAATAAATAAATAAATAAATAAATAAATAAATAAATAAATAAATAAAATAAAGTAAAATAAAATGTACTGTAGACTTACTTGTCTACAGGCCAATCTGGTGGGGGAATTTTCTTAGTTGAGATTCCTCTTCCCAGATGACTTCAGGTTGTGTCAAGTTGACATAAAACTAGCCAACCATAACAGAAAAGAAGTTACTCTACTCTTCTTTTAGTATACCCAATCAAGAAAATGCTCACATGATGCATTGCAGCAAGACAAATGACTTCTGGATGGTTTTCTAACACATAACCAAAGGATAATAAAAGTCCAAAGAGAATGCATATTTCCATGGTTACACAAACATATCATATATATATATATATATATATATATATATATATATATATATATATATGTATACATTTGTTTATGTATATAAAGATATATATGACAGATACATTAAAACTTATATATGTGCATTGTATAGGTTAAGATTGAAAGAATAGAGAATCACCCAAAGTTCTTTGGTAATGTTGGGGCATATATCTTTAGCCTATAAGTCTAGAGTCTCTGGCACACTTTTCAGTGAAACAGGAAATTTGGACTGTTCTGCTTAGTAGCAAAGCTCATCAGTCACTTTCTTCTGTGTCCTGCAGAATGTCTGACAGTTCCTTCTGCAAAGCAGGAACCTGAAGGACCGACCATCCTGCCTTGTTTTGTCAAAGTTCAGTGGTCACTTTCGTATGAGTCCTGCATGTCCAGTTTATACACCACACTGTCAAGCAGTCAAGGCAAGAGTAGTTTCTTGCCTAAATGACTAACTTTTGCCACAAAGAAAGCAAACTCCATATGGAGTTTCTTTAGTGCCCCTCATCTTTTCTGAAGTAGAGTGGTGCTGCCAGGAGCAAACATGTCTCAATGTCCAGGAAAATCTAAGTTCTTAAAACTTTAAATGCCATGTTCTGTAGGTCTTTGAATTGAAATTTATCTTTGCATACCAAAAACTTAACTAACATGACTATAATTTTGATTATCATAGATGACTATTAATCTGTATTTCTTAATGATGTATTTCAATTTTAAATGAGTTGTATAAACATAATACCTTAAACAAGAGTAGAAATATACATCATTATAAAAAAATTAACCTTAAATTTGTATTAATAAACCAAAATCCATACCAATGTAAAGTATTTTGAGATTAATGGTCTTTTTGGATTAAAGTAGATTTAATAATCTCCTTTTCTTCAATCATTTCTATATTACATAGTTTAGCATTACAATGTGTGTTCCCATAACCAGTGTAGGCCAGAACTACCTGTCCATCTTTCTATCAGCTTGGGAACATATGATGCCCTCCCACAAGAGAAGACATCTATCCCACTGTTTGGAGAAGAGTGGACATTGTAGCCCAATGTTGGTGAGGAGCTAAGGCTGCAGGTGCTTTGCTCAGAGTGGTATGTGTACACTGAATATATCTATAAGTACAAAGAAGTGGAAATGAGGCTCTTGCTCACACCACATCTTACCAACACAAATGAATGGATGATTAAATGATGAGCAAATGAAATAGAGGGAAAATTAAGGAAATTAAGGATTTTAAAGTTATTATTATTATTAGTTATTTACTTAGTGTATGTGTAATATCTCACTCCACAGCATGTGTGTGAAATGAGAAAACTTCCAAGAGTCAGTCCTCTCCTTCCATCATCTGAAGCAATCTCATGTCATTTCTGCTGTTCTGAGTGCTCCAACTGGGCTGGCCCACCAGTGTCCAGGTGACTCTCCTGTCCATGTTTCTTGTCTCACCACAGGAGTGAGTGCATCTCACCACAGATGCACATGACAGTATCAGCTTTTTCACATGTGTTCCTTGGGTCAAACTCAGATCATCAGCCTTGCATAGAAGGTGCATTTACCCATACAATCATCTCACATGCCCACTGAGGATTATTTTATGGAAAGTTTTATCATTAGTCAAATGACATTTTAGTTTTCTTAAGCAAAGTAATATAAATAAAATTTATTTATTAAAGAAGAAAAGTTATAAAAGTAATTTCATTGAAGACAGTAGAACCTTAGCATGAAAATCAGATGTCCTGAATTCAAGTATCAAATTTTGCCACATTTTCCTCTTGGGCCTCACTATCCCAGTGTGAAGTGGTGTTATCAACTACCAGTAACTATAAACCTTTCTTCAGAGAATTGTCTCAAGCTGCTGGGCCCTTTTAAACTAGGCTCACCACAGGGAGGGATGCAAGCAGCTTCTCTCAGTGACTGCAGAGAGCTGGCCTCCCTTAGCATTCATGCAATGCAATTAGGCCATACATGCTGTAGCCTGGCCTGCAGGCTTCTCAGCAGGCCTTATTTCACACAGCAATGACTTGCTTAGTAAAACTTACATGACTATCTTTCTCTCCTGGAGTCAGTGTCTAATATACTACCAATATCTTCAGGGAGAACACCCCAAGGACTTAGATTATTGGCAGTGATGTTATACTCTTAGGTTTCTGTTTTTCTGAAGAAAGGTAAACAAAATATTCTATACCTATAGTGTCCCTGGGCAGCTGACCACAGAGACCAAATCCTGGACACTGATTGCTCACTGCCTGTAGGTTACAAACCTGCTCTCTGTGGGGATTCTCGGACCATAGAAGACTCAAACTGGCTATAACTTCACAAATGCTAAGAATGTTGCCAGCAGAACATTTAGATAGAAAATAGAATTAAATGTCCTAGTTTGAGCCATATCTCATATTTCTGTATCAAAGTCAGACTCTGAAGCGGAAAAAGTCAGACATTGAAACCTATGATAAGTCTCCATGGTGAATGTTGAACTGAGTTTCCTCAAAGCCTCAAAAGTGTCTGTCGTGGTCTCAGAACTATATGATTCATTGTCTGAAGGCAAGGGCCATCGAGGGTGAAGTGACTTGGCCTTCTGTGGTATTTGACCCTACTTCCCTTAACTGCTTCTAAATGAAAGTCCAGGTTACAATCAGATATGACTGTGATGGAGTAAGTCTTGTCTCTGTCTCAGATAAACACATTATTACTAGAGCCTGCAAGTGGTACTTGAGTGTGCAATGTACCCTCAATACTAGGGTCTTGTAGGCTATTTTCTTCAAGCTGCAAGAAGGTATTACAGTAGATTGTCAGCAGTTTGTCTGCAGCAATGACTTGGGGGGTCCTTGTCAAATCATTCAATTCTGAGTCACAGGAATGTCCCTGATATTCACTTCTGGATGTTTCTACTCATCCCCACAGTCCTGCCATAGCAGTTTAGGAGTGGGAGACTGCTTTCCTGATTCTGCTAATGTGTCTATGAGTCTCTAGACCTTATCAGGACTTATGCAGTTAAGATATACTGGGATTAGACCATTAAGCCATTAATCTAGAATCAGTAAAGGGAGGTAAGGAATACATTTTAAATTACAAACTATCCCCTTTATTTCATAAATACACTCCCCATCATTTGAGTAAATAATATCATGTACTATGATTCGATGACACACTACTTTAGCAATATATTTCCAGCCACAACTCCACTGTTTCATAAAACAGTTTTATTTCTAAAACTGAATGAGGCATTTCTAGTGAAATTTATATACCTACCAGCAAGACTTTTCACATACCTCAGATGAAATCTGAAAATTTGTCTGACTTATTATTAAAATTAAAGGTGCTGAACATAAAGCTGGCTCCTAAGAATTTAGGAAAAGAGTCCATACCAAGGACATTGCTTGAACAAATCTGTGGTCAAGGCAGTTGCTTTACTGAGTATACATCTATTTTTCATTTGAATTGTTTTTAGTATATCTCTAATTATTTTTGTCCATCAAAAAGCAATGTCTTTTTTTTTCAAGACAAGGTTTCTCTGTGTAGCCTTGACTGTCCTGGAACTTGCTCTGTAGACCAGGCTGGCCTCAAACTCGGAGATCCACCTGCCTCTCCTGTGATTAAAGGCATGCACCACCCTTTTTTTGTTGGTTTGTTTTTGGTTTTGGTTTTTCAAGACAGGGTTTCTCTGTGTAGTTTTGGTGCCTGGTCTGGATCTCGCTCTGTAGACCAGGCTGGCCTCAAACTTACAGAGATCCACCTGGCTCTGCCTCCCGAGTGCTGGGATTAAAGGCGTGCGCCACCACCGCCTGGCTGCACCACCCTCTTTCTGTATCTATTTTCAGAAGTTTTTTGGGGGGAGGGGAATTTTATATGTGTTATTCAGACTCATGTCCTCTCTTACCGTCTCCTAGGTCTCCTTCCCTTTTCTCTGCTGTTAACTTGTGTCTTTTCTTTTTAAATCTATCAAGTAAAGTGTGTGTTGCCTGTATATTTTTTAATATGTGGCCTTTCACTAGAGTGTGGTCCATTTACCAGAAGTTACACGCTTAGAGAAAACAGACTCTCCCTATAATAGCAGCTAGCAATCGCCAACAGATTTGGCTACTGGTCCAGCTTCTCTCTCCATCCTGCAACACGGTCCATCTCGGGCTTGCACTCACCCTGTGTATGGTGCCACAACTGCTGTGAATTCAGCTGCCATGCTGTATCAAAAGACACAGTTTCCGTATACTTTTTCACACCTTTTCTGTTCCTTCTGCAACAATCTCTGACCTATGGGAAGAGTACATTATATATGTTACTCAGATAGTCTGCAATGTCTTATTCCCTGCACCTTATTCTCTGATACCAAGATACTTTGGGTATCTGTGTTGATGTTCATTTACTACAAACAAGCTTTTCTGATGTGAGTTGAAAGATGAATTAATCAATGCCTATAGTGATAAATATTATGAATTAGTTTAATACTATGTAGCAGAATCATAGGAGTAGATTCTCCCCAAGGGTCTATGACATATAGTCACAGGTTCTTAGCCTGATAATGGTGCTAGGTATAGGTTTCATCTTGTGGAGCAAGACAGAAATATAATTAGAAAGTGGTTGGTTATCACCATGATGTCCATGCCACCATCACATTGGTGGGACAGATCTGGCCAGGCCAGTTACTATTTTAGCTCACAAGGGATGACACCTGGGTAAGAGACTGATAATTTTTTTTTCTCCTCTGCTACCCTGGATAATGCTTTGCAGCTTTATGAAAGCTAGCTAGTAAGGATGAAGTTTCCAAATTTGTACCAATTTGATTTCTCCATATTCTGTGACACAAGTTTATGGTGTGTTCATCAATAGAGTCTTACTGCCAAGTTCTGAAGGATAGTCAATCCATTGGAAATTGTCTTTCATGTTTGGGGTTCTAAGGAAACTCACATGGCAACAACTCTAAAAGAATTAACCCATTTCTGGCAAGGGGTGCTTATTTGTTATCCTATGGTACAGGCATTGTTTACCCATTATAGTATAACCCTGATTTAACTTTTTTATCTGTGTGTGTATGGATATATGTACATACATGTGGATATATGTGCATACACAGGTATGCGTGCTTGTGTGTGTATTTGTTTTAGGAAGCTTCTAGTAGGATAGTCTCGTTTACATTTTTCTTTATAAATTTGAGTTTTTTATTTTCTTCAAGATTCCTTATTGAATAAACAGAGGATAGATTTCCAAGAGAGTGAGGGAAGGTCAGGCCAATTCATAAAGGGCCAGTATTCTGTACTAAAAGAGCACTATACACAGCCAATGTGTTTTAACAAGGCCAACTTAACTTGAAATTTTTATCAGAGTGAAGATTGCTTTGGAAAAGAACTAATGCAATACTGCCTGAAATTTTGATCCATTAAAAAGAGGAAAAAGTGGGTGGTGAGGTGATGTCTGACTTTTAAGAGTACTTGCTGCTCTTGTGGAAAACCTGAATTTGGTTCTGAGCATCTACACACTGGCTTACAATCATCAGTAAGTCCAGTTTCAGGGGATTTCATACCATGTTCTTATGGTTTCTGTGGGCACTGGGTACATATGCAGTGCTTATATATACATATAGGCAAAACACTCATACACATAGAATGAAATAAATGTCTTAAAATTGGATAAAAGTTTCAACAAAGGAAAAGGGGAAAGGGAGATGATGGTGAAGGAGAAGATAGAGAAATGACAGATAAATGAAATACAGATGATTGATGACAGAAAGACAGACAGACAGATAGATAAAAGCACTGCTAATGATCACAGGCTGAAATGCAATACTTATTTTTTTTGTCTAGAATTCACATTTAAGTATGTGCCTATCTAACTTGTTGAAGAATTTTTCTTTATAAGAAAACATACACTTGCTTGGTTAGTGTTACCCCAAGGTATTTTATGTCATTTGTGGCTATTGTAAAGGGTGATGTATCTCTGATTTCTTTCTCAGCCTCTTTGTCAATTGTATACAGGAGGGCTCCTGACTTTTTGAGTTGATCTTGTACCCTGCTATGTGGCTGAAAGTGTTTATAAGCTGTATCAGTTCCTTGGTGGAATCTTTGGGGTCACTCAAGTATACTATCATGTCATCTGCAAATAGGGAAAGCTTGACTTCTTCCTTTCCAATTTGTATCCCCTTAATCTCCTTATGTTGTCTTATTGCTCTGGCTAGAACTTCAAGTACTATATTGAATAAGTATGGGGAGAGCAGACAGTCTTGCCTCATTCCTGATTTTAGTGGAATTGCTTTGAGTTTCTCTCCATTTAATTTGATATTGGCTGTTGGCTTGCTGTAAATTGCCTTTATTATGTTTAGGTATGTTACCTGTATTCCTGATCGCTCCAAGACCTTTATCATGAAGGGGTGTTGGATTTTGTCAGATGCCTTTTCTGCATCATGTGGTTTTTTTCTTTGAATTTGTTTATATGGTGTATTACATTGACGGACTTTCGTATGTTGAACCACCCTTGCATCCCTGGAATGAAACCTACTTGATCATGGTGGATAATTGTTTTGATGTGTTCTTGGAATCTGTTTGCCAGTATTTTATTGAATATTTTTGCATCAATGTTCATGAGGGAGATCAATCTGCAGTTCTCTTTCTTTGTTGTATCCTTGTTTGGTTTAGGAATCAAGGTAATTGTAGCCTCATAGAAGGAGTTTGGTAATGTTCCTTCTGTTTCTATTGTGTGATGGTCGAGAGACAGCCCGAACTGACCTACTGTGGTGATGGGATCGCCAAACACCCTAATTGTCGTGATAGAAACCCCATCCAGTGACTGAGGGAACCGGATGTAGAGATCCACAGCTAGGCCCTGGGTGGAGCTCCGGGAGTCCAATTAGCGAGAAAGAGGAGGGTTTATATGAGCAAGAATTGTTGAGATCAAGGTTGGATAAAGCACAGGGACAAATAGCCAAACGAATGGAAACACATGAACTATGGACCAATGTCTGAGGGGCCCCCAACTGGATCAGGCCCTCTGAATGGGTAAGACAGTTGATTGGCTTGATCTGTTTGGGAGGCATCCAGGCAGTGGGACCGGGTCCTGCGCTCAGTGCATAAGTTGGCTGATTGAAACCTGGGGCTTATGCAGCTTGGCTCGGCCTGGGAGAAGGGGTCTGGACCTGCCTGGACTGAGTCTACCAGGTTGATCTCAGTCCTGGGGAGGCTTTGCCTTGGAGGAGGTGGGAATGAGGGGTGGGCTGGGGGAAAGGTGAGGGGGGCGGGAGAGGGGAGAACAAGGGAATCCGTGGCTGAAATGTAGAACTGAATTGTATTGTAAAATAAAAGAAAGAAAGAAAAGAAAAGAAAAATGTAAATACTTTACATTGGATTGGATTGTTTTATATTGTATACAAATTATATATATATTGAAATTGAAAAAAAAAGAAAACATACAATATTGTAAAGATGGAATACATTGTTCTTGTTACCCTTAGAAATAAGTTTTTTTCTAATATATTCTTAGTATATATCTTTGAGTCATATTCTTTCATTTTAGGCACATGGCTTGGAATTCATAACTATACACATATGGATCAGAGTGCTTAGAAGGAAATTCTACTCTTCTGGAATACTAAATGCAAAATTAAAGTCTGCCACCGCAAGCAGAACTGAAAGAAATGAAATGGAATATGAAGCATGGCCTTTTAAAGCATTATTAACAGCTAATGTGTGCATTTTGCCTGAAGAATAAAATAATGTCATTGATGTAACTTGAATTCTGATTTATTTTGGTAAGTTACTTTGAAATATATAGGAAAGAGACATTAATAAAGGTACTCAATTCTGTCACCTCTTACCTTTCATTTAATAATAATTTATTCCAAGACCACTATTGTAAGACTACCTAAAATCATAAATTTACCAGTTTCTCTTCAAATTAAGATGTTTAGTATCATTGAGATTAATTTCACTATTTATCACTGTCAGCTAATTTACATGCTGGCATATATATTCTAAGACAGAATTTCTATTTGCTTGATTACTCTCTGGGATATGAATTTATTGGAAAGTTTCTCTGATAATCTCTTTCAAGGAGATTTAAGAGTGTACCAGAGAACGCTAGCATGAAATCTGGGTTGGATGTTCATTTTGTCGGAAGCTTTATATGATAACAAAGCAAGTATCCACACACACACACACACACACACACACACACACACACACACACACACACAGAGAGAGAGAGAGAGAGAGAGAGAGAGAGAGAGAGAGAGAGAGAGAGAGAGAGATCTTGCAACTATCAACAGAACAAACGCAAATTTTTTGAAGTCAAACAAAGATCAATGTGCATTTTCTAACTTGAATCATGTTGAAATAAAACAAATGGAATGTGACGTATGCTCCACAGAGAGCTGGAGAAACAGCTCAGGGTAAGGCTTGCTTTTAGAAGGGTTCATGCAAGTGTCACTTTTGAAGATGATGATACCTTACTTTATTATAAGTTTCTGTGAATTTTAAAGCTATATAAAACCCACAAGTGATGGCTGCTGACAACACCACTCCTTTTTGGAGACATGACTGGGTGTATAGTATGAGCTGGCCTTAACCATACCAGTCTAATGCCTTAGCATCCTGGGTGCTAGGATGACCAGCACCTACCTGCTGTGGATATTACACTGTATAAATAAAATGCTGATTGACCAGTAGCCAGGCAGGAAGGATAGGCGGGACAAGCAGAGAAGAGAATTCTGGGAACAGGAATTCTGAGTAAGGAGATGCTGCCAGCCGCCGCCATGAGTACCAACATGTAAGATACTGGTAAGCCACGAGCCATGTGGCAAGGTATAGATTTATAGAAATGGGTTAATTTAAGATGTAAGAACTAGATAGCTAGAAGCCTGAGCCATTAGGCCAAATAGTTTGTAAGCAATATAAGTCTCTTGCAAACATTGTAAGCAATGTTTACTCGGTTGGGTTTGAGCGGCTGTGGGACTGGTGGGTAAGAGAGATTTGTCCTGACCATGGACCAAGCAGGACTGGAGAAAACTTCAGCTAAACCTACCACCAAGAACTACATTATGTTCTCATCCCCTATCCCCTAACCTTCATTGCCGACCCCTCACCCCCAGTTCACTCATGGAGATCTCATCTATTTTCCCATCCCAGGGCAATTCATGGGTCCCTTTTTTGAGTCTTCCTTGTTTGCTAGCTTCTCTAGAGTTGTGGGTTGTTGTCCCGGTTATCCTTTGCTTTATTTCTAGTATCCACTTATAGGAAATGGGATGGTCAAGCTGGAACAGGGATGGAGTGGGAAAGCAATGAGAGAGATACCATGATGGAGGGAGATATCATGGAGATAGAGAGAAACCTGTTGCTAGGGAAGTTGCCAGGAATCCCCAAGGATGACCTCAGCGTGAACTGCTAGAAATAGTGGAGAGGGTGTCTGAACTGAACCAGCTTGCCCCAGTGATCAGATCAGTGAATACTGCTGTGGATATCATTCCGTATAAATAAAACACTGATTGGCCAGTGACTAGGCAGGAAGTATAGGTGAGACAAGGAGAGAGGAGAATTCTGGGAAGTAGAAGGCTGAGTCAGAGACACTGCCAGCCACCGCCATGACTAGCAGCATGTGAAGATGCCGGTAAGCCACAAGCCACGTGGCAAGGTATAGATTTATAGAAATGGATTAATTTAAGATACAAGAACAGTTAGCAAGAAGCCTGGTACAGCCATACAGTTTGTAAGCAATATAAGTCTCTGTGTTTACTTGGTCGGGTCTGAGCGACTGTGGGACTGGCAGGTGTCAGAGATTTGTCCTGACTGTGGGCCAGGCAGGAAAACTCTAGCTACAGAATACCCTATCATCACAGAGCTTTTCTCCAATGACTGATGGAGGCAGATGCAGAGATCCACAGCCAAACACCAGGCAAAGCTCCAGGACTCCAGTCAGAGATAGAGAGATAGATAGATAGATAGAGCGAGAGCGAGAGCAAGAGAGAGAGAGAGAGAGAGAGAGAGAGAGAGAGAGAGAGAGAGAGAGAGAGGGAGGAGGGATTCTATGAGCAAGTGCTTCAGGATCATGATGAAGAAACCTGTAGAGATGACCAGACCAAACTAGTGGGAACTCAGGAAAGTTGGATCAGTGGTTGTGGAGCCTGCATGGAACTGGACGAGGCCCTCTGCATGGGGAGACAATTGTGTAGCTTGATTTGCTTGGGGGGTCCCATGGCAGTAGAATCAGAATCTATCCCTGGTGCATGAGGGGGCGTTTTGGAGCCCACTGCCTCTGATGGGACACCTTGTGCAGCCTTGAGGCAGGGGGAAGGGCTTGGACTTGCCTCTACTGGATGGGCCTCACCATGGGAGGTCTTGCCTTCTTGTGGGGGGGAATGGGGGGTAAGTTGGGGGTGAAGGCTAGAGGGGTGGGAGGAGGGAAGAGGGAGATCTTTGATTGGTGTGTAAAATGAATGAAAAAAGTTTCTTAATTAAAAAAGAACTATATTATTTCTTTAAAAAAATGCATATGAGAAAATATTCCTTGCTATAGGAATGCAGTTCCTGACAAAATATTTAGCATAATGAATGCTAATGACTTCTTAATGCTATAGAAAACTTTGTTTTCAAAAATTATATATGTGTGTGTGTGTATCAACAATTCAAAACTAGAGTTCATGAATTTGAGAGAGAGGAAGAAGGATTGTGGGAAGAGTTAACAGAAGGAAAGAAGGAAAATGATGTAATTATATTTTAATTAGAAATTGCTTAAAAAATTTAAAAATGAATTACTATATTGATTTTATTCTAACTTGTAGTAATGTCTGAATGCACAGCTTTTTAATAAAATGTGCAAGACAGAAAATTTTGATAGCTTTTATTTCTGCAAGCTATGTCATCTACTATTAACCTCTACTTCTAACTGACTGAAATACTGCTAAGCATGCCATTCTACTTTAGTAGCTGTAGCCCATCATGAAAGAATTGTATCCATAGTAGTTCTGGAATCACCTGCTGCTGATAGTTCCAAGCTGACTCTTAGCACTCTGTGCATTGTTCCTCGGAAGAAGGCTGGTTTTGGGGACTTTATCAGTTTCATTTGCAATGCATGTGTCTATGCCATATACTCTTCATTCTGAGAAATCTTGACTTTCTGTTCTAGAGATAGAATAACAGAAAACAAAGGAAATTCAGTGGAAAATTGGTTCATATGTGCATTGTTTTTTGCTACCTGGTATTTATAATTAGCATGTTCTTTACAAAACATGGTATCTAGGAAAAGAAAGTGTGTCTGCGGCAGTCCCAGGCATTGCTGCAACCTTTCATAGGTTCCCGTTCTTCCCAGAGCTCTTTTCCTTGATGGGAACAGGTGTTGCCCCGAGCTCCTCGGCATAGAGATGTGCTCGCCTTTTCTCCTTAACAATGATTGAAACACATGGTCCTGTTTAAATCAGTTTTGGGTAGTGAAAGAGGACACGGTGTTTATGTAAAGAAACAGGCCTTCTCTCTCAAGGGCAGGCCTCTCCTACTCTTCCTTTATGATTTGAACTGAAGCATATGAAGAATGACTCCACACCTTGTGATGCTTCCAATTCTCAGTTTGATGGGTGGCAATTTCTATTTAGTTTTCCTACCCCCTCTCCATATTTACATCCTGGAGATAACAGAATAGAGATGTTTTTTTAAAACACCCTAGAAAGATAATTTTGGACTTGGAATAAATTATACATGGCTATGGAGCTCAACCTGACATGTATATTTTAAAGGATAGGAATGAAGGTTGTGTATGTAAGGAAAGAACTGTATAGTCATTGATAGCTTTGTCATTGATTTCTAGTCAGTCATTACTGCTCTATCCTTAATCATTCTTTTTGTACTGAATCAGCTGATTCTATGTAGAATTAATTTCCTTGTCTTGATTTCAGTTTATCAAGTATTTATATTGCAGATGCCAGTGGTTAAACCACTGGCAATGAGTTTGTGATTAGATTAAATCTCAAGAGTTTTCTAGAAACAGTCTACATTGTCTTTGAAATGAGAAATGCGAAGGAAGTTTACTTTCTATTCTGATGTCTGTTTTCTTGATGCAAACTTACTGTTAGCTCTGCATTTCAACAGCAAGTGTTCTTGGAACCCTGAGTCTGAAGCAGATACTACATATTGAGGTAGAAATAAGAAGCCAGGAGACTAGTAAACACATGGACTTGCAGCTCAGAAATTGTGTACCCAAAGCCAGCCTCACCCCTGAGTTTCACATTAAAATGTTCATTGTCCTGAGAGTTGGATCATGCTGTCTTTTATTTCAAAATACTGTGTTCAAAATGATCAGCTAATGAATGGGTGTTGCTAGAGTTTTCCTGCCTGGCCCACAGTCAGGACAAATCTCTCTCATCCGCCAGTCCCAGAGCCGCTCAAACCCGATCAAGTAAACACAGAGACTTATATTGGTTTCAAACTGTATGGCCATGGCAGGCTTCTTGCTAACTGTTCTTACAGCTTAAATTAATCCATTTCTATTAATCTATACTTTGCCACGTGGCTTGTGGCTTACCGGTACTTTACATCTTCCTTGTCCTGATGGCGGCTGGCAGTGTCTCCCCCACCCAGCTTCTTGTTCTCTCAATTCTCCTCTCTTAGTCCCGCCTATACTTCCTGCCTAGCCACTGCCAATCAGTGATTTATTCATTGACCAATCAGCAACACATTTGACATATAGACCATCCCACATCAAATGGGTTAAAAAAATGGGTACATACAGAAAATGAAATACTGTTATGGGAAAATGGCTCCTTGGTTAAAGCACTTGCTATCAAGCATGAGGACTGGAGCTCAAGTCTCCAGAATCCATATGAAGCTAAA